CACAGACTGTGCTTGCTCCTTTTCCCTTAGGGTTTTGGAAGATTGCTGATCACACCTCCCTTCCACCTCCTTGGGCTTTCTCCTTTATGAGATCTAAAGCCACCTTCTCTGCTCTCTCTGTAGGTAACTTCAACTCCTGCTTCACTGCAATGACCTTCTTACTAACTTCCCTGCTTTCTGCCCCAAAACCTCCATCTTCCTGGTTCTCTTTACCTTCCTGCCTGGCTCAGAGAAAGCTGAGTCCTCTCCCTCCCAAGACTGACCTCTCCTCCACCCTAGTCCTACCACCCATACCTCCTCCGGGGCCTGCCCCAGAAAGCACATCCCTTTCTCTCCTTACACTTGCTTCTCCAGTCCTTGCTGTCCACTAGATCTTTTCCTCTGCCTGCAAGATGCTCAGTAGCTTTTGATTTTCCAGGTAAAAGGGGAAAACAAGCCCCTTGATCTCGGTCCTGCTGACCCTCTCCAAACTTCAGATCTGTTTGGCTCATTCTGTCCACCACCAAACTTCTCAAAAGCAGGGTGAGCACCTGCATCCTCTGCCTTTCCACCTTCCATCTGCTTCTCCTCCCATTTGGATCTGGGCTCTGCCCTTGCTTCATCACCAACGCTGCTCCTCAAAGGTCACTGGTGTTTTTGCCATTGTTCCCAAAGATCCCTTCTGATCCCCACCTGCTTTCTGCAGCACCAGACACTGCTGGCAACCTCCTCCTCCGGTAAGTTCTCTCCTTGCTTGGCTTTCATGACAACCCTCCCTCCTCACTCCCCTCCCGCACCGACCAGGCCTCCTCTGTCCGTCCTACCCACGTTGTTGCCAGATGCATCAGAAAGCCCAGTTCCAGCAGCTGCCACAAGCACTGCTCTGTTCAGAAACCTTCGACGGCTCACCACTGCCTGCAGCAAAAGAACCATAGAGTTATCAAATAATGCAACTGTATGCAATACATGATCTATAATGCAAAAATATGTTGGGCAGAGATGTCAAACATTTTTAGGCAGAGGAACCCATTAAGAAGAATCTTCCTCAGAAGCCCAAGTTTAAAAAGCATGAAAACAACATGGCTCCTTATGATGCAGGGAGTGAGGAACCCTGGAAATTCTAGCTTTCAAAACACAATTGGGAAACCACTGAACAAATTAAATTCTTCACTAAGTACATGAGAAAACTGAGGCCCAAAGAGGAGAAGTGAATGTTAGAAAGAGGTACAGGATATGAGTCAGTCAATCAACACATTTTCATGAAGTGCCTACCAAGTGTGCAGCATGTTCTAGGTGCTAGGGATAAAGCAGAGGATAAGACCGACATGGTGTGCCCCTGGAGGGGTGGATAGCCCAGTAGGGAATGAATCAAGCATATGAGCAATTACTGAAGTGGTTACAAATACGCCAAGGGAGCTGTGAGAGCATATAGGAGGAGACTCTCCCCAGACTACAGGGCAAAGTGGGCACCCTAGGGAAGTAACACGTGGAAACGGAGCCCTAAAGGATAGTAACTGGCCAAAAAGAAGGGAAGAGCATCGGCACAGATGAAACAGCTTGGGTGAAGGCTGAGGAGATGAGCATAGTAGCTTTGAGGAAGCCCAGGGAAGCCCAGTGGCTCCTACTCAGAGCCCTGGACCCCGGTGAGAGAAGGCAGCAGGAGGCAGCCCCGTGAGTCTTGCGGCAGACTTGACCCAGATCTCAGAGGCTGGCAGGCCAAGGAAGTGTTCGCAGATATTGGGACTGGACATGTGCATTAGGGGACAATTCAGTGCAAATGCAATGTGGTGTCGTGGATTGGAGCCTGAAAACATAAAATAGACATTAGTGGAAAAATGAGAACTATGAACAAATTCATAACAGAATGTGTTCTGTTACCAGTATTATAGCAAAGCTATTTTCTTAGTTTTGACGATGCACCATGGTTATTTATGCAAGACATTAGTGTCAGGGAAAGCTGGATGAAGGCCATACAGAAAATCTGTAAATCAAAAATTATTTCAAAATAAAATTTTTAAAATTGATAAGTCCATCTAGCACTGTGGCAGAAAAGAGCAAATCTGAATATGGCGAAAGAGATTACAGTAAAATTATGACTAACACTTAATTCTTCTTGCACACCAAGCATTATACCAAGTGCTCAATGCATTTAACTCATTTAATCCCCACAACAACTCTTTGTGGCAGGTTGTTATTATTTCCCCTTATTTTACAGATAAGGCATCTGACAACAGAGAGGTTAAGTCACTTGCCCAAGGACACATAGCTGCTGAGGTCTGAATTCGAATGCAGACAGTCTAGGGCCAGAGTCCCATGTGCCTGAGTGTTGTGTTCACTCCCTCCCCTCTGTATGGACTGGCTATACTGCCAGAGGATATTGCAAGGAGCAGGCAGAAATCATAAGTGCATGAACTAGGGTGATAACAGTAGAAATGGAGCAACATCACTAAGCTTAAGATAATAATAGAAACAGAATGAGCAGCATTTGCCTTTGAATCAGAATGTGGTGTCTGAAGAAGAAAAGGGAGCAAGAATGACTCCTGGAATTCCAGCTTAGAGCAGGGACCCGAGCCTAGCCTCCTGGCGCTTGGTTTCATACTTCTTCCTGCCCCTGACGGAAACCCTCCGGACCTTCGCAATCTGCCCGCACCTACCCACCCCTTTCTCTTATACTTCCCCAGAATGTAGAACAAACCCAACCTCCTGCTGTTCCCACACCAGCTTGTCCTGGTATAAGCTGTTCCCTCTACTGAAATTCTCTCCTCAGTCTCCCTTGGTCCGAATCTGACCCACCCTTCAGGGCTTTAGTCAAATGTCACCTCTTCTCTAGATGCCTCGTTTTTTTGTTGTTGTTTTTTTTTTTTTTTGCTCTTTTTAGCAGCAAATAACTTCCATCCCATAATATAGCTATGTGAGTACGGTCTTGGCTGTTGCTAACTTTTGCATCCTCAGTACCTGGAAAGTAGGTGCTCAAAAAGACTTGTTTAATCTGAATAAACAAGTTCTATCTTACTTTCCTTTGCCCCTTCTCTGGCTCTCTTTTCTGTCCCCAGCAACCCACTGCACACACACACACACACACCCTACCTGGCACCCATGTTGGTGTTTTGCATGTTTTAGGGGCTGGTTTAAAGATGATGAGGGGATGACCATACTATCATTTACTTGCCTCTCTCTTCTCCACCCAACCCATCCCCAGGCAGCCGTGCCAGCCCCCAGACACACCCTCTCTGGAAGCTCTTTTTAGAGCAGGTCAGAGAAGCCTTACCTAAGGATGGAGAGATGGGAGAACATGAGCAGGGGACAGGTGGGTACTGGTGCATCTGGAATTGCCTCCTCAAACCCATCACTCAGCTCTTAGAAGGTGCCACGCAGAGTCTGAGACCCCGGCAATGAACCAGTTCAACCCTGGCCTTTGAAGTACTTAGAGGTGTCTGGCTGCTGGGCTGGGCTACCACAGATCAAATGAGATAAGGCATTCCTCAGCGTAAAAACCCCCTGGAGGCGATCGCATTCATGCATCTGCTAGCCTCTCCTCCAAGTCTTAGAGTACAGCTCAGGCTACAACCAACCTTTTGTGAGCCCTATTCACCCAGCTGCTGCTGGCAGAAGTGCCTTTCCTCATACTGGCTCCCTACCCCCACCTTAAATCCAGTCCCCTTAATCCTTCCCCCTCAGCACATATCTTTGTCTTATAGATGATTCGCTCAGCCCTGTGTCCCTTACACCCCAGAAGCCTTCCCTGATCCCCACCCCCAGATGAATTGGGCACTTTCTCTGAGGCCCACCAAATCCAGTGTGTCCCACTGCTCTGGGACACACCATGCACATGAAATGATTGCTTAGAACATCTGTTTCTATGTCTTCTCCCCTGCCCCCCAATAGACTGAGCACCTGTAGGGCAATGGCAGGGTCTCTGTATCCCCAAGCCTGGCACCAACAAAGCCTGATTACATCTGTGAGCTGTGAAAGATGTATACATGAGCATGTGAGTGTTCATGTGAGTGATGAACTGGACTACTTCAGTTGGAAACCAAGGATCAGACCCCAAATAGTGGGAAGGTGGTGCCCTCCTGGCTCAACCACCTTCTGCTCCTCCGACTCCCAGGAACTAGAATTTACATCTTATCAGAAACAGGCTACTACCCCACTGCTCCTGCCTGCTGGGCGAGGAACAGCAACGGGCACCCCAGAGCATGCCCTGGTCAGGCCTCTGGGGAGAACTTGGTCTCTACTGGGAAACTGTCTGTCTGCCTCCTCCTTGGGAAGAGATGGGGTGGGAGGTCCAGAGGGAAGGAGCAGAGGGCGGGCTTCGTGCTGCCAAGGACTCCAGAGGGCTCAGCCGCCTGGGCAGGAAGCCATCCACACCCGGATGTGATGGGTGGTGAACGGGATGGGGCGGAGAGTCCCTGCCCTGCCGCAGACACTAACTGGATGGGGGTTACTTGCGCGGGAACCCCGCAAGTCTGCCCAAAACAAAGGTTCGGGCAAAGAACGCAGAGCTCTATTTCAAGCCTTTTGGGAGGAGAGGGAGCTTCCGTTTTAGGAAAAGGAACCATTGAAGGGAGCGGGGATTACAGAAGACCAGGGACTTCAGTGGCCTCATTTCACCCGCCAGTGCCCACCTTCTCCGGCAGCTCCCATCGGTGCCCGCATAGCTGCCTCTCCGTTCAGCGTTCAGGCGACGCCGAGGAGAGGCACCTCCGGCTGCCGGGTTCTGGTCCCAGCCTTGCCACTCTCTGCGCCTGTGCCCCTGGGCGACTCGCCTCACCCTTCTGGGGGACCTTTGTTTCCTCATCTGTAAAATGGGGCCAAGAACGGAGTAGAGAGCTGCAAGCCCTCTCCGCTAGGACACTGCTCCATCCAGCGTTCTCCATACTGCACGCCCGCCGCTCCGCAGCCCCGCCGCCCGCCCCATCTTAACTCCACCCCCACCGAGCAGCTTCTCCCCCGACGCCGGCCGCTAGGGGTCACTGCCTCCCTTTGTCGGCGACAGCGCAGGGCGGCCGGCGCTCGGGCCCTGTGCTGCGCCGCAAGGCGGCCGAAGGGGCATCGCCCCAGCCAGTGGGCCTGCCCGACCCCCGGCCCTCGCTCGGGCCCCGCCTCTGCCTCGGGCCGGAAGGTGTGCGCGGCCGGGCGGAGGCCGGGGCGGGCGCGGGCGGCGCGCCGGGGCGGCGAGAGGGTTAACGCGGGCCCCTCCCCCTCGGGCTGACATCACGGGGAGCGCGGGTGAGAGGCTGGAGCTCGGCGAGTGAGAGAAAGGGAGCGAGCGGGGCGAGCGGGGCGCGACTCGGCGCCCGGGCTGCTCCACATTGTCGCGGACCGCCGGCCCCGAGCACAGAGAGCGGCGGCGACGCGCGGCGCCCCCGGCTCGCTCTCCCACCGCGGAGCCGCAGAGCCCGAGCGAACCGGGCAGCCGGCCGCCGGACCGCGCGCCCGCTGCCTGGGCCCCGAGCCCACCGCGCCGCCCGCCCGCCACCCGGGCTCGTCCCGCCGCCCTCGGAGGACGGCCGGCCATGGACGCCTGCAAGTTGGAGCCGAGCGGGAGGGCGTGAGCGCGCCGGGGGCCGGGAGCCCGCGCTGCGCAGCCGGGCGGCCAGGCGCGCCGGGGGTGGGTCCCTCTCCCCAGCCCGGCTCTGCGTGGAAGAAGAGGGCGGGGACCGGCGCGGGGCGGAGAGCGGAGGAGGAGAAGGGGGCATGACTCGTGCAACTTGCGGCGGGCATCTGCCGAGCCTCTGAGCCGGCGGCGGCCCGGGGCCCGGATTGCGGCCGCGCCGAGCCCAGCCCAGCCCACCCCTCCCCGGCCGACGGCTGCGGCTGACCTGGATCCGCGGAGCGCCCGCCGGCCGGCAGTGACCTGCCTTCGTCTTCCGGGCTGGTTTCCTGGGCGCGAGGAGCGCTCTCCCCACGGCGCCTCTCGCCGGACCTCCGGCCCCCGATGGCTCGGATGGGGTGTGCGGGCGCCGCAGGACGCTGGTGGGGACTCGCTCTCGGCTTGACCGCGTTCTTCCTCCCAGGTAAGCGCGTTCCGCCTCTGCCAATCCCCCCCCCCCCCCCCAACCTCCCCAATTCAATGCCTCCCCGGGGCTAGGAGCTGGGTGGCGGGCACGTCTGGGTTGTAGGGAGTGAAAGGAGCCAGAAAAGTTGGGTCACGGCTTTAGGTAAGGGGGTGCGTGTAGCAGGGCGGAGAAAGATAGGCTGAGAAACCAAACCGCCTGCCCTGCAGGGAAGCAGTCGGATGCACGACTCTATGTAGCAAGAAAGCACTTTCTCTGCTCAGTTTTTCACACACAAAAAAATAATATGTAATAGAGTTCTATTTATTTAATAACCAGCTCTCAGCTCGGGAAGCAGTTTGGAAACACTGCATGTTACATAAATGCAAAATAATCACCGTAATCACGGTCTCGGGGTCTGAGACAACAGCCCCGGAGGGAGGGCGTCAGTCTCAGAGCTTGTGGGCTGTGGATTCGGAGGATGGCAGGGGGTCTTCGTGTCTTTCACCAGCCCCTTTGCCTGCCGGTTTCGGGCGCCCGGGCCCCCCGCCGCCCCGCACAGCCCCACGGCGGGCGCAGAGAGCCCGCTTCTGCGGCAGAGGCAGCTTCGCTCTCCCCTGCCGTTCCTTCCCGGGAGGGTGAGGCCGGGGGCCGCGCGGGATCGCAGCCTCCCGGCCTTGCGTGGGGCTGGGCTTCCCCTCGGAACTCTGCTCCCAGTCGGGGAGTCATTCCCACGGGAGGCGCCGCGGTCTTCGTGCCAGTCGGGTGGCTTCGTGACCCACTTTACCGAGGGCGCCCCGCGTGTCCTTCCTCGACGTGCCGGCGGCCGAGGGGTTAAACCGACGCCCGACCCTGGGGTGGCCCGCGGTGGCCCATCTGACGGGTTGGGGGTGGAGGGGAGTCTGGGACCGGCCGGCGTATTGTGCTGGGGAATGAACTGGAAAATGCGTTTAGGAGGCAAATCCGACCGAGTCCCCTCGCCCGGATTTAACCCTTTGTGCCCCTGGGGAAGCAGCCCAGTTCCCAGGGTGCGACACCAGCGCGGTCTGGGTCGGGGTAGGGGTCCTTCCAGTCCTAGAGGAGGAAACCTGAGATGACCTGCTAGAAGAGGTTTTGCGGAGAGATTGAGGCTTGGCTGGAGCACGTGGCCCTGGCCTTAGGGTGGCTTAATCAGGGGTCGGAGTACAGAGAGAAAGCTCCTTGTGGGGCAAGATCGTGGGCGCCGCCGACAGCCGCGAAGATGCCCGCGATGCTGCAGACTCCCTGGGTAGTTTGTCCTGGAGGGGGAAGCCTGGCTGCGGAGTTGCCGGGCTGGGCTGCACTCCTGAAAGACAGGAACCTGGCCTCATCCACTTCTCTTCCCCTTCTGCTGCCAGCTCACTGCCAGGGCTCGCAAATCTCGCTGAGTGGCGAGTGACCAATGGCCATGAAAGCAATTTGTGGAAACATACACCAGATGCCCCCACCCTACCGCCTATGGGGTGCTGCCCGGCTAGGTGTGGGGGGGAGGGGTGACATTCCAGAACAGGAGAGCCTCAGAGTCCATTTCATGGGGCCTGAGTCCCTCCCTCCTAACAGGGGGTCTTGGTGGCTCTGTGGGGTATTCTTCTCACACTGGCCCTCCTGGGGAGCCAGCTGGCAATAGCAGCAGCTCAAGCTCTGGGACTTGTTTGACTACAGGGGTTTGGGGCTTCTGGGAACCCTCAACTGCATAGTGTCCACGCCCAGAAACCAGCAAAAAAAGACTTTCTATGGGCTCTAGTTGGTCCAGCAAGCTAAGGGTTAACCTAATCCTGGGTCCGGATAAAGGGCGGGAAGGTTTGGGGGAGGGGATGGAACTCACCCCCATTCTCCCCTCCTTTAGTTTTTCTCTTCCCCCAGCTTTGGAGTGCCTGGTGGTTAATTCTTTCCTGGGTGGGCTGGAGGCCTACCTGCCCTCTTCTCCCTATTCCAGAAGTGGGCACAGGGAGTGACTCTCACCTGGCTCAAATGTGGACACTGCCCCTCCACCAGCAAAAATTCAGATTCAGGGGGTGGGAAGCCAAGGAGGAAGCACAGCCCAGATGGGCGCTCAATGAGGGCTCCTAGGTCGAGGGCTCCTTGGTCGATGGCAGTTGTTCCAGCCGCAGCAGAAGCAGCAAAGGTGCCGACCTGCCAAGCTCCTCCCCCCTCGCCTGTGCCCCTGGTGCCTCTGCAAGGGGCAGGTTGGTGTGGGCGTGGGTGGGCCCAGAACCCCACTTTGCACCACCTTCCAGCTTCCTCCTGATTGCCTGGGGCTGCTTCTCTCTGGGGACTTGCCAGCCTGATGCCCTCTTCAGGTCCTCCTGGGCTGTGGCAGAGAGCCTGGAGAGGGGAGGGGAGGAGCCTGCTGGGGGGAAGCGGAGGAGCCCTCAGTGTGTGTGGTGGCCGGCCGCCCCCACTTCAAAAGACTCCCATGGCTATTGAAGCATAATCACAGAAGTATGTTTTCAACAACACAGACTTTACCAGGCAGAGTGGTGAAGCCCCACAGGCTTCTGAGATGGCAGTCCATGATTACTGGCCTTTGACTCAGGAGAGGGTCTGTGGGGATGTGGGGACTGCATCCCAAAGAGGAACCAGAGGAGCCTGAGGAGAAGGCAGAGAACCTGCCTTAGAAGCAGGTGCAGGGAGCTGGTGTCCCACCTACACCACACCCTTCCTAATTGGCTTCCCCAAACCTTTTGTCTGGAAAGAGAACACACACCCCAGGTGTCATGCACACCCTCGGAAGACCTGTCGGACGCAGCACACCCCCTCTGTGCATGTGTGCAGGGCTTGCTACCATGGTGGTTTCCTTCCAAACTCGAAACTCGGAATGACAGGGCTGTTGGGTTCCTTTGCACTCTCCCCATTTCTCACAGACCGGGGTATGTTCAGGCTTGCTGTGCAGGATGTCACAGCAAAACCAATTCTGCTGGCCTGGAATTTGCAGCGTGTGTAAGTGGGCATCTTGGTGCCCATTTTGGAGGCAATGCTGTGGAGTGTCCCCAAATCAGATCCAAAGTCTAAGAATCAAGGCCAGAAGGGAGGAGGAGGTATTGTAGAGCCTGGGCCCAGCACCCTTGGCTGAGTGTCCTGGAAGGTGTCTCTGAGCCTGAATGTCTGTGGCTCTGGTGCAGGTGGTCCCTTGTTCCTGATGCTGGCTGAGACTGACAGCACTTCCCCTTCTCAGACACTCAGCTTTGCTCAATGAATCCACCTCTCTGGCCACTGCCTGACCCAGGACCCAGTGATAGGCTGTCAGGATGGTCACAGAGGCCAGAATGCTCCCAAGAGCTGACTGCTGAGCAAGTGGGCCAGGCTGGGGGCTGGGTAGTGGGCAGAGGGTCAGCCCCAGTTGCTGAGTCTATGATGCTGCCGTTGTTTAACAGCTGACTAATGTTCATTGTTCGGCACAAACAGAAAACACCCAAGGGAGGTGTGAATATACCTTCAATTTTCCTGATTGTATCTTTCCTGGGTAACCCGGTAAATTGAATGGCTTCTACCTGGGGGTGGGTGGGGGAGACAGAGAAGGTGACTGTATATTCACTGTTTTGCTGATTTTTTTTTACTTTGAATCTTAGCCAGTGTGCCAGGCTAGAATGGACATTAGCCAGTTGTGGGTCTTAGGTGGTAACATTTGGACAATCCACCTATGGTCTCACCTTCAGCATAGAGTGGGTACGTGCATACACATGTGCGAGGCTTTGCGAACTTGTGTTGGTTATTTACAATTCACTATGCATATGCAGGCCAGTGGAGATTAGGATGAGGAGATGTACACACTGGTATCTGTGGGTCACCACGGGCCTGGGGTCGTAAATATATGTCAAACGTATAGTAACATATAACTGATTTCTTATGTCTTTCCAACTAGGATTTTTTGAATGGCTCGGAACCTTGATAAATGCTATTGTTTATCCTCATCACTGAGAATCACTTCGGAAGGAGACCTAGGTTTTGCCCTTAGCCAGCTTCTTCCAAGATGGGCTGCCAGATTCTCTGGGAATGGCAAGTCTGTACACGGCTTTCTTTTTCTGCTCTGCCCTTGACTTTAGACTGGGCCTCTGCATCCTCACAGGGAGATGCTTACCTGGAGAGATGTTCTTGTCTTGTCAGACTCCTGTGGTCTCCCTGGCAAACATTAAGGCTGGAACCTGGTGTTAACGGGCCTGGTTTACCCCGTGGCATCCCTGAATGTCTGGGAGGGAGACAGGTTTTCAGCTGCTAATTTGGCATCTTTTCTTCCTGCATGAGTACTTGGGAAAGTAGATCATCTAGGGGGAAATGTGGCATACTCTGGGCATTTAAAAAGGGGTGTGCATGTGGGCTTCAGTCCTCCATGAATAGTCCTGCAGAACCATATCTGTGGCCAGTTTGGCAGCATACATGTGCCCGGAGACATCCCAGGTTCATGCAACAGGAAGTGGGAGCCCCCTTTTTTGGAGAAGGAACCAAGAATGAGGGACAGACAGTGGGAAAGAGGGCAGGCCTGGGAGCCCAGCATCCTGCACCCAAGTGCAGCTGGCAAGTGCTGCCCAACACAATGCCTGCCCGTCCCCATGGAGAGCAGGTCCACAGAGCTACAGCAGATGTGTTGGCCTGGGCAGGAGGTAACTTAAGATCCTAGTAGGGATCACCTTGCAAAGGGAATGCCCTGAGTCGGAGATAACACCCCTTAGTCCAGTTAACCCTTCCAGCTCTGGATTCTAGGATGCTGATTTGGGGCTGGGAGATGGGGAGAGGGAAGAGCCAGGAGAATACCCATCAAACTTAATATCTGAAACCCGACCCATCCCAGAAGGAGAGAGGAATTCGGTGTACCAGGAGAGACCCAAGGACACAGAGAAAGTCTCTCTGACAGCAGGCTATAGGCTCTTCGGAGGGACGGATAGTCCCAGGGTTTATCCTGGGGTAGAGGAGGGGGACATTAGGTACGCATTCTCAGGGGCTCATGGAATCTGTGCCTTCCACGGTCTTCCAGGGCAGACAGCAGTGGCCTCAGGCCCTAGCCCAGA